TAACAAAGATTATTTGTAAAATAAGTTAATAAGTGTTACTCATATGCCAACTAATAAAAAAAATCCGGACAAATTAAAAAGCTGGAGAAAGTCCGGACAAAAGGCAAAAAGTCCGGACATATCCGGACGGCAACCCTAGTTGCATGGGACTTATGGGAGACCATCTTAAATATTTAAAGCACTTAACAGAATCAGATGCAATAGCAAAAATCCAAAGTGCCATAAATAACACGACATTGGTGTCGATTCTGGCATGATTCTGTACACCTAAACATAAAAATTTGACAACAGTCTATCCCTGTCTTACTCTAAACGGAATGAAAAGGAGAGACTGATGTTGAATTTAGTGTTTGGTTTAGAGAATCATGCAACAAAATTGGTAATTGACACACCATTATGATTTACCTAGTTTTCCGTACAATCAATGTATGAGTTTAAAGTCTGGCCTGATATTTATGAGATTGAAACAATTTCAGAACACTATGAAACCCATTGCAAAAGGTAAGAATATTAAAAAAAGAGGAAAAAATATTTACGGGTGATTTGAGGTCGGGATGGGTACGGGGGTGAAAGTTGTAGATAATTAAAAGTAAATTATAATAAAAGTTAATTTTCACATAGCCAAAAATATCTGCGAAAGTTCAAATAACCGTTTTTCCATTTTTTATTTTTATCTCCCACGATAAAACTTTATTTTTATTTTGATTTCAATTAAGATTAGTCGGTGAAAAATAATCACTTATAATAATAGTGAAACAATAAATATCGTTATTTCAATTCGTTGTATTAGTAAGTAATCCTTGAACCCCTTATCAATAAACGGAGAATAAGATTGGATTAGTTCCTCCAAGTTCTGTCTCTGTCCATTGAATGACGAATGTCATTTGAGTTATATGAACAAACTAGCTGTGCCCCGCGGTGTTACCCGCAGTTTATTAAGGATAATTTCCCGCAGTAAAACGTAGCCTATGTGTTAATCCAGGGTGTCAGCTAACTCCATACCAAATTTTATTGAAAACGCTCCAGCCGTTTAGACGTGAAGAAGTAACAAACGTACACACTCACATACTCACAAACTTTCGCCTTTATAATATTAGTGTGATGTGATCATGGCGTAACTAGTCTAAGCCTATATATACCTCGTCTATTTATAAGGGTGAGGGTCCAGCGGGTACAAGACCAACAAAATCATAATTTTCAAGTCCAATAAAAAACCGGCCAAGTGCGTATCGTGCCACGCGCAATGTAAATAAATAAATAATAAATAAATATTTCCAACACACCAATTAGCCTAGCCCCAAAGTAAGGACTGTAAGGCTTGTGTTATGGGATACTAGGGTAACGGATAGAATACATTTACTGTACTATAATAATAAATAAATAATAATAAATATTTCCGACACTCATACCAATTAGCCTAGCCCCAAAGTAAGCACTATAAGGCTTGTGTTATGGGATACTAGGGTAACGGATAGAAGACATTTACTGTACATATATAAGTATATTTATATAAATACACATTAAACATCCATGACTGGAGTACAAATGCTCGTATTCATCACACAAACATCTGCCCCCACCGGGATTCGAACCCGAGACCTCTCGAGTCGGCGACAGCCATGAAACCCGGCGTACAAACCACTCGGCCACGGAGGTCGCCAAGTGTAGGGTTCTACAGTTGTCGTTACCACAGCATATTTGAGCAGGAGTCTTTATTTACTGCATCGGCTTTTTTTTTAAGTTTTCTTTACTTTTTGTTTTTCAATGTATTGTTTTACACTACAATATATTCGTTTATGTCACTATTAATATTTTCTTCTAAGGAATTTTCATAAGGTAAGAAAATATCTTTAACCTATGTTGAACGACTGGTATTAAAGTAACAAATCTATCTTAACCATTATAATTTTCCTTAAAATTACATGAAAAGCGCTATTTTCTTGAATTTTTCCATGTTTTACAAACTAATAGTTGGCTTTAGGAGGAGACGGGACGCCCTACTCGAACAAAAATTGGCACTTTGAAGTGCAAAATTTCGCAAACGTATCCCTAAATTGAATCCCTTGCTTCCAATCCAAACTGAGTTAAGACCACTACAAATCCTCCATTCATACTTACCATAGCCCCCCCCCCCCCCCTCCCTTCCTAGGACATCGGCTGGCGATGTTTAAACACTTCTATTTATGCAATTACTTAAAATGTAGAGCACTATTATTTACTATAAGAATACAACTGCCGCACTCAGAGATGCCAAGTATCTTTTAATTTTGACTGACTTTAAATGATTTTAATGAAAAAAGCGTGGCAACTTGACCCGTCTTTCCCAGTGGGCACCTTGGGCAAGTGCCTAGGGCCCCGCGATCGATAGGGGGGCCCCTCAGATCAAATACAAAGTCTCTAGTTCCTGTTAAATCACCAAACGGAAGTCATAGGGGCCCCATTATCCTAATATGCCCAGGGCCTCCAATAGGTCGAAGACGGTACTGGTGGCAACACACCCTTTATGATCCACTTCATAGTAAGTAACTAATATAGACGCTTGCGACACCAAAGCTCTAGCTGTAGAGTTCTGGAGCACTACTCATCGACATGAGGAGCTCGATGGCGCAAGCAGTTAGCGCGTTCGGCTGCGATCGTTGAACTTAAGCAACTTTCGCAGTGGTCGGTCATTGGATGGGTGACCAAAAATTACTATTTAGAGCTCATCCGTGCTTCGGAAGGCACGTTAAGCCGTTGGTCCCGGCTGCATCTGCAGTCGTTAGCACCCACCAATCCGCACTGGGCCCGCGTGGTGGGTCATGGTCATGGTCATCGGCATCGCATTTGTGATACTCCTGGTGTTTGCAAGTGTCCATGGGCGACGGTAATCACTTACCATCAGGTGAGCCGTCTGCTCGTATGCCACCTATAACATAAAAAAAAATCTCCCTATTCCATCCATAGGGAAGGCCTGTGCCCCAGTAGTGGGGACATTAATAGGCTGATGATGATGATGGTGACTTATCGACAGAAACACAATGCCATTGAGTGGTAGTAATTTCACAATGGTTACTTCCCCAGACGGCATCTTCAATTCAAGCGAGAAAACCGCTAAACTCTACCCCCTTATTAATAAACAAGGAATAAGTTTAGACTATTTACGCCGTGTTTTATAAATATCACTCAAATGCCATTTGTCATTCAATAAACAGAGAAAAAAACATGGAGTCACTAATCTAAGCGTAGTCTTCGTTTATGAATAAAGGGGTACATCTCTACATTCAAGTTGATACTGCCAATTATTTTGCGATCACAAAGAAAGACAACACGTTGCTTGATGACACATTTAACTGACACATATAAGTGTAGGCTTATGTGGCTTATTAATTTTAAAATACTGATCTAATATTTATGGTAATTCAAATAAAGTTACTATAATTACGTAATATACCTAATTTATTATCTATCTCGAAACAATGATGAATACTGTCTATTACGCAACGTCCTTAATTCCGCATTAATCTCATAAAAGTTGAAAAAAATACGAATCAAGAAGACACTGGCCATTCGCAATAACATTATAATTTATTTGTGACGAGCAATAATTAATTCGCATAGACAATGAGGGCGATGGGCCGCAGACACTGGTTGGCGAAAATCGAATTTAAAAATAAAGCCGAAGAGTCTATGGCCGCGTCCGCACCGGTCCGTTCCACATTCGAAATAATAATTGTATTAAGGAAACATGAGCGCGGCGCATGTGTTTGTTTGTTTGTTTACTCGCTGGTGACGTCATATGTTTATTCTCGCGGGGAGGTCGGGCTCGCGTGGGCGCGTGTTGCTAATGACTTTTAATATTATTTTTGTTTTCGGAATAACATTTTTATGTATATTTCTGAGTTTTCCTGTTAACGTTTTAAGAGCTAACTGTTAACATGATTTTAGTAATACGAGGAGTTAGATATTATAACAGATAATTGCTTATTGATCTTAACTTTAACATTATTGAAATTAGGTAGCTTTATAGTAAATTGAAATTGTTGAATCTACATTTTATTAAAAAGAAAACAAGAATTAAGTTGCAATGAAGTTCATGAAATTAACTACTTGAAGTAGGAATTTGTCTTTATTTATGTGATGAAGGCACTATCAATGTCACTTGTCAATTTTAACCATTAATCTTAGCTCTTTTTAATGAAAACATTTTCATTTTCATAAACGCGTTGTGAAAATATTTTCTCAAACAACAAGTTACTTAAATACGTACCTAAATTGTATGCATTAATAAGTATAGTTAGTGCAGGGTTATTTTAGCAACTTAAATAATATAATAGTAGTACTTACTTAGTCTTTACTTTGGTTTACTATTTTTTACTATACACATTATTGTTACAGTAAATTGTAAAATATTTAGTTCTGAAATGAAGTAAAGCTAAACAGAAATAAATTGTATATACCTATCTACAAAATATAGAGTGTGAAGACTGTGAAGGTCTTTGTAACATAAAATGCAAAAACCATGAAATAATTAATAATTACTTTGCAATTAAAATTAATAGGAAAAGTTGGAGAGTACCTATTTTATCATTGAATACTGAATAATGATTAATTTTACAAGCACAAATTTTTCTCATATTCCGTTAATGTTAGACTCTATCTTATAACAACGATTTCAGAAAAACAGCATTTTTTATTACATGTCTAAAACTGGAGGTGTAAATGACTTTGATAGATATAATTAATTTTCTTGTATTTGTTACTTGTTGTTTCTTAGAGTCAATTAAGGATATTTTTACTTGGCTCAGTATTTTAATTTGATTATTATCGGCAATCCAACTGGCTTTTCTGTCTGTCGTCGGCTCAGTAACAAGTAGCCGATTGGTATGATGAATGTCTCAGTTGACGAGTGTGTCACGCTCGCCGCACCGCCTCTTGTTTACACACGCACACTAGCGCGCTCACGCACACGTCGCCGCGCCCGTCGGCCGCTTATTTAGGTATATTGTTGTTTATTTTATTCGGCGCTATGCCCCGCCACGGGCGAGCCTTTCGACTCAGTTTTAACGCGCACGTTTTATGAAACGACAACTATGCGTCGATGTTCGCTCGCCGATAATAATTATTCATATCGGAACCGCTCCTGCCGACCGAAATAGCGCAGATTCGCGACTTATACTGTTTACCGAGAAATACGAACTTCGAACGCTCCGCTTTTTTCCTTTTTGCTATACGTATACATAGTTTATACTTTTTAAATTTGTTTTTTTTTCGCGGCCAGTTGTCTCCGCGAATCTTAATAGCGGTTAATCATAGTTTATTTTTACCGCGTAAACGTGTGTTAATAATTGTGTTGGGGGCCACTCGTTTCTTTTATTTTGTTTCGTGTTTGCGAATTGCGGAAGCGCGTTTCGCGCGGACTTGATTATTTTTGTGAGTGAACTGTAAGATTTGCACATTAGAATCTGTTAAGGAAAGACGATGCGGGATTAAGAGATCGGACTTATTTTTTTTTCTTTTCACATTTTGGCGCGTAGACTTAGAGTGTGTGATAAGGCTGCACAGAAAGTTCGGAAAAGTGTTGAACACACATTGGATGCTGGCGAGTGTTTTTTCAACGTGTTTTCGAGGCTAAGCGCTAGTTGTTTGAACAAGTGTGTTTTCTAATGGATTTATTTTGAGGTGAGTTTAAATTTACTGGTGTGTTGGTGTTTGTATTGTTTGCGCGATGTGTTTTGTGTGAGTGCTGTTGCCGGTGGCGGGAAACCGAATACTTAGCCGGTTCGTTTCGTGTGTGGGTGATCAAACAATGTGTGCGTGTGTGCGTGTGCGACTTATTGTCACTTTGTAAGAGGGGAAACAAGGAGGGAGAGGTTACTTGTCATGTATTTAGGCAAAGACAAAACTCTGATGAGTTGAGTTTTTTTTTAATTTATATGCTCCTTATGAAGAGTTATGACGACAGCCGCGCTGTTTGCTCACGTATCACCATCTCAATTTATCTTTATTGATTTTTGACATCACGCCATCAAATATTTTATGTAAACGCGAGAAGTGATTAGCCTTCTATATAAGTCGTGCAAGTAATTGTCTATTTTAAAATTTGAACTTTTTTGCATTTGCTTTTTTATTTTTTGGTTGTAACCTTTTTAAAGAGATCTAAAGGTAAATTTCAATAATTAACGAATCGAATACATAGAAGAATGGATTAAGTATTAATATGATGTTTTGTATTGTTTTATTGAGTCAAATATTTTGAGGCAAAAGTTCAAAGTAAGCCTCTACATAATTTTCATAGAGATGATTTATCCATTTGCTCTGCCTTTACATAAATTCACACCTTATTGCAGTAATAACCAATCATTACCATTTTTAATAAGTATATAATTACGCCTAATAAAAGTAAATATTATAAAGAGGGTTGAAAGGGTACAGCAATATAAGGCTTTTATAGAATATAATAATGAAGTGTTATTTTAATTACTTAAATAAATCCTACAACAGATTTAAGCTGTAGTACTCAAGTAGGTTTAAAATACAAAAGTATCGTATTAGAAATTAATGAATAAGTGGTCGATGAATTTGAGTTGTTTATTAATAAATAATTAATACCGAAAAGACTGAACCGATTTGACCGGACCGGATTAAATTACATGAACATATGATATAAATATAACATTATTTACAAGTTATCTATCTATCAAACACAAAATGGTATTATTTGACAGCTTATACCGTCAAGATAGATATGCTTGGAAAGGTCAGTATATAATAATATACTTAGAACGATTTACTTAAGATATGATAGTAATAAGACATCGAGGTTTCCTCATTGACAAAAATCCCCACGTTTTTTTATGACAAATAAATATTAACATGGTATATATACCCTATTAATTTTGACATGTCGTCTATCTGATATATTCAAGATATTATCCTTTCAAAGAGTTGTAGGTAGGTAGCTTTTTTTAGAAACAGAGTTCAGTTTTTTTTTTTATAAAAATATCTTCTTTTACTTTCAACAGCATTTTTTATTATTATACCTAACTTATGTGATTCATAGGAATATAATTTTTATTAAATTTTAAAATTAACAAAAAATACTATTGATTTTCTTCAGATTATTTTTCAATGACGACCTCTGTGGTCGAGTGGTTTGTACGCCGGGTTTCATGGTATCGCCGACTCGAGAGGTCCCGGGTTCGAATCCCGGTGGGGGCAGATGTTTGTGTGATGAATACGAGCATTTGTACTCTAGTCATTGATGTTTAGTATGTATTTATATATTAATATACTTATATATGTACAGTATATGTATTCTATCCGTTACCCTAGTATCACATAACACAAGCCTTACAGTGCATACTTTGGGGCTAGGCTAATTGGTGTGAATGTTGGAAATATTTATTTATTTATTTATAAAGCAGATTACATCTCGCTCGTTAGCCTCTATGTATCAACCGTGTCAGCAACTGTCAAAATAAGTAATCACTAAATATTTTTACATTAATTTCTTTAAAGCTGTACTTACGAATGAAATGACACGTTTTTCTTGTCTCTAATAATTCCCGATGTATTTTGTGTATTGTCTAAAACACACACATAGTTCTTTTAGTCTGGAGAAACGTAAAATATTTACATGTTGTAGCGAAGTCTAACCGCGGCGAGAGAACGTGCCCGACTGAATGCAAGTCGGGCAATTACCTGACTTTGTTATAACTAAATTAGAAGCTTGTATATCTGTAACTTTCAAAGATCATACATAGTTTATAGTCCGTTTTGAAACACTTATGGTGCACGAAGAAGTTTAAGATGAGTACATACCTATAAGTTTGAAAGGAGAGTGAGAGAATGGAGAAAGAGTTATTTATGAAAGGCTACATTTTACCGGTACCTGTACCAGACACCTTTGATTTCCACCGTCACTCAACATCAGGTGAAGTGCAATCATCTGTCGGATCTATTCATAAAAACAATGAATTAGAAATACATTATATTAATAAAAGCAACATAATATTAAACAGTATGATGCGTTTCAATAAAATTAAACCTGGGGGTGAGCATTGTGTAGGCATTTACTTTGTAGTTTGACATACTAATTTATCAATTTTGTTTTTTGAATTTCTAATTCACTCTTTGACAGAGGAACCCCAATGTCCTCTAACTTGAAAAAGTCGAATTTACACCACTCAGCTGTTAGCAACGATATGCGAATTTAGAAACGCTACGCCATACTATCATATCATTAGTCACTTCTTGATGTCCCCACTCCTGGTCCATTTTGACATCACAATTTCCTTGTCATGCTCTAGGAAATACTGAAAAAAATATTTGAAAAGTTTTTCAAAAACTTTATAATGTAATATTTTCTTTACATTTAAACATCGAGCAGCTACATGCTTTAAAAAAATACACTATTTTAAAAGTTATCATGGAAAAATATTTTATATAAAATAAAAATAAAACATTGAAAATATTGATACGATACATTGAATAAGAAAATATTTTAATGAAAATGATACTACTGTCAAATTTACAAAAAACGATAATAAACGAATAACTTTTGTTTTCAACATGAAACTAATATTTTCACCATTACAATTTTTTTGGCTATATGAAGTAGTCTATGACCCAAAATCCCCTCTCTTCTCTATTCATAAATTGTATAGCACAAAATTTTGTATTTTTTACATGTGACCCAAATTATTTGTTCTACCAGAACTTGGGCGTTTTTATTGTAAGTACTTAGGTATACGAAACACTTTTTTTACCACAAACAGTAAACATTTTTGATTTCCGATTTCTTATACTAACTGAGAATAACCGGCTAGAAACAGTGCGAGGGTTGTTATATCTGCCTATATTATCTTCTAATACAGTACATTCCACGTTAATAGTAAAAACATGCTTATTACGTAGTAACAAGAACCATATTCGAACAACAACTCTATCAACTGCCATAGTTTTTTTCAACATCTCTCCAAGCCTTGGGAAAAGCAAATACACGGTACCTATAGGCTATAAAAACTAGGGTGCATGTTAACTCTTACAGTATTTTTTACTGAAGGTACTAAATATAAAGATTTGTTAGTTCAAATGTTTGCAACCTAATACTTTACGGTTTTTAATGAAATCCCTAACCCCTGTATTAATAAACGCAAAATTAGTTTGAATTATTAATAACAACTATAAGTAATTTATATATTTATAAAATATAAAAAATCATAATTTACTTATGTTAGTAAAAACTTAATGACGGCGGCGACGTGTGACGCGGAGTGGTGTCCGATATCCGGCCTCGGAACCGCCGGAACACAACACCTTTCGGCCAAAGCTCTTCATTCATTATGGTCGTTAGGTGTTAGGTTGCTGCTCCCATCACGAATGAATTATAATTCACATTATGGCGGGATTTAAACCATACGACTGTCAGGGAGAACTTCGTCTTGATCAGCAGATACACCACAATCTCCTCTTCCTTTGTAGAGTAATGCAGCCGGGACACGTACGTCGTTGTATAATGTCTCATGGTACTAACGATTAAAACATACCGAAAATACAAGTTCGAGGTTCGATTTCCTTGCGGTCGGTAAAATAAATAGAATTTTATCATTTCTACATTATCTTCGTTTTAGGTGATTGTGGGATGGAAGGTTGATATTTCTTTGTCTTAAATTAATATATTTATTTAAAGTAACGTCACAGCTTATTGCAACCATATATTACTGAGGCATTGTAGGTTATAACGTACATCATGTGAGTAAATTACTCCACTCTGAACACTGAATTACATTTCTGAAAGCTGAAAAATTAGTGACAATTTTAAAATAAATAGCTTGCTTAAAACTTATATAATCTCAGAAATAAAAGGACTTTAGTAACAATAATACTTATTTTTTGTATTTTTCCCGAACTTCGCCGTAAATTAATGGAAAATAAATGTATGGCATTTGGCGTAGAAATTAGTAAAATGACTAACCAGTTTCATAAGCTTTTCAGAAAAGTATAACAGCTATTAACTTTATTAGCTGTTTTTAAAAAAGCTATTAACTTTATAAGATGTTTTTAAAAAAGCTATTAACTTTATTAGCTGTTTTGATTAAAATCAGCAAAAGGGCGCTGTAGGGCAATTTTGTTTCGTAAATTGAATACTGTCATATTAACTGTCTCACTACTTAATAAAGACACTCATCTACAAAAATTGGAAATTTTAAAATTTCGTGCAAAGAAAAGATTTCCTAGTAAGGATAATAAATGCACGTGAAACAATAGGAGCAAGAAAAGAAGAAATTGTAATCGAAAATATAACACAAATAATGTACATAAATATAACTAAAAAAATAAAATGTGAAATAAAAAAAGGCAATACTATCGAATAAGTGCAATACTATAGATATTATTGTAGTTCGTTAATAACAAACTATTGATAGCACCGTATCGAATCTAAATACTATCGATAGTATGGTTGCAAATAAAATCGACAGTATCGATACTGGCTTTTTCGATAGACTATCGATAGGCTTAGCACAGAAAAATCGACTAATGGGAACTAATATTTCTACTCAGACGAAGTCACTAGTGTTCTTATATAATATATCCCGACCGTAGGTCCTTGGCCTCGAGTATATCATTTTTATAGAAGAAAAAATCAAAATTTTGATTATTTAAAATATGTAGACTGA